GAGAGAGAGAGAGAGAGAGAGAGAGAGAGAGAGAGAGAGAGAGAGAGAGACAGAAATGAGAGAGAGAGAGAGAGAGACAGAGAGAGAGAGAGAGGAAGAGGAAAGCGGAAGTGAACTGGGAAGAAGACAGAAATGAGAGAGAGAGAGAGAGAGAGAGAGAGAGAGAGAGAGAGAGAGAGAGAGAGAGAGATGAGAGGGACAGGTGTAGGAAGAAAGACGAAGCGAGAGGTGTAGCGATGGGAAGAGAAGGCAGACGTGTAGCATGTTCTGTCTGCAAGACAAATACCACAGTGATGACCCATAACCAAAACAAGCTTTCTAAAAAGTCTTGATGAGAATGGAAGGGCTCCTCGCAGCACACCTCAGGGGGACCAAGGGTGGCGCCTGTGCAGCTGGGTACCGTAAAGGTCTCCTGGTGTGAGAGGCACCGTAAAGGTCTCCTGGTGTGAGATACTCTCGGCCGTTAACCCTGAGGTGAGGCGGGTTGGTACCTGTGCTCTTGAGCTGAAATGCCAACTGACCCTACCCTGAACGTGTACATTTCTTTTTTTCAAAAAAAAAAGTCTCAATTTTGAGTTTTCAAATTAATATGTCGTGAAAAGAGAGTGAGGCAAAAAAGGAAACAAACTGCAACATGCCTTCTTTTTTTTTTTTTTTTTCCCTTTTTTTTCTTTTTTTCCCCTTTTTTTCCATTTTTTTTAACTGCAACATGCGTGATCTAACCTTGACATTTTCTGGATTGTGTTTCACTGCCTGTACGGCATCTTCAAAAGCTCTCCGATTGTTTCCAAGAAGAAGATTGACTTGCGCACGATTCGCATAGTAGATCGAGCTATTCGCGTCAATGCTGCTCTTCTGAGAAATGGCCTGCGTGTAAAGCTTCAGAGCTTCGCGGTAAAAATTGTGACCTTTCTTCAGCAGTCGGTTGCCTTGCTCCTATGTTCGCCACATCAGCACCACAATTGGAAGTCAATCTCCAAGCCGGCACCAATGCAAAAAAGCCAATTTGAAATTTCGTCATTCATCAGCACGGATGCAAACCAATTTCCACGTCAGCAGAAACGCATCCCGATTTCCATGCGAGAGCACCAATACGAAGCCAATTGCCACATCAGCACCAGTGCAAATCCAATTGCCACGTCAGAACCAATTGTGTGACTTGCTGAGATTGCCGCTTTCTCCTGAGAATTTCAAGTCTGAGTGTGTGCATGATTGCTGTGTTTTCCGAGTGTTTGTCGGAATGCTTGATTGCATGTGTGTGTGTGTGTGTGTGCGTGTGTGTGTGTGTGTGTGTGTGTGTGTGTGTGTGTGTGTGATCCGCCAGGGTACTTGTACGCTGGGAAGGCCCTCGGGCCTGGTACATACTTGTGGCCATGCCTTCTTCTTCTTCTTCTTCTTCTTCTTCTTCTTCTTCTTCTTCTTCTTCTTCTTCTTCCATTCTTTATTCTTGTGTGTGTGTGTGTGTGATTCGCCAGGGTACTTGTATGCTGGGAGGGCCCTCGGGCCTGGTACATACCTGTGGCCATGCCTTCTTCTTTCTCTTCTTCTTCTTCTTCTTCTTTGCCGTCGTCGTCGTCGGCATCTCCCATTCTTTATTCTTCTTCTTCCTTTGTCTATTTCTCTTTCCAAGTTCCTTCATTTCAGTTGCGATTGAACGGCATTGTCTTTCTTCGAGTTCTTGCACTTGAAGATAGCCAGGATCATAACATACCTAATGACATATATACTCTGGACTCCCCGCCTCCAATACCTCTATCTGGGCACTCTCAGTCGTTCCTTTCAGTTTCGAAAAAAAATGGAATGAAAGCGGCTTCGCTCGGTCAGAAATATCTCAAAAAAAGCAGCCAGGCACAATTTCAAAGGCGGGAAGCGCCTCTACCAGTGAACTGGGTCCTATCGGAAGTTCCTGCCATTTAGGGGGGAACATCGGTGCAGCCTGCAGGCCTGAATCTGACCTGATATCTATCTACATTCGCGCCCTGGACCATCATGGCCTACAAAACGTTTCTGGCCATTCCTAGGCCTACGCGAGTTAACTAGGAAAACCCTAGCCAGTCCTTATCAAAATCTATGTCTGTCCTTCTTTACCCTAGAATTTCCTCTAAGTGCACCCGGTGTCTTATTTCAGTCCTGCCCCTGTGGTTATATCTATTTACTGTGTTCTACCCATCCCGATACACAGAAGCATAGCACGAGACAAGAATTAGCCACGAACACATACTCAGCGTTAGCAAGCATCAGATAGACTCTCTGGCATAAGACA